CCCCCCCCCCAGCTGTCTGCTTGCCCTCTATCAGTCTGTCTCTATTTTGCTTGGTAGTTCAAGTTGTTCATTAAATTCCACATATGAATGAAATCATACAGTACTTTCTCTATTTCACTTAGCATAATGTTCTCCAGGTCCATCCAAAGGGTAACATTTCCTTCCTTTTTATGGCACAGTAGTATTCCATTGTGAAAATGTACCACATCTTTTTTATCCACTCATCTACTGATGGACACTTAGGCTGCTTCCAAATATTGTCTTCTTGAGGGAAAGATTCCAATCAAGAGACAAAGTATAGAGAAGAAAGCAAGAATTTATGGCCACAGCAAAAATATACTTAGGATAGTGAAACAAAGTGCATAGAAGTAACAGGCGGTAAGCCCGAGACAAGCTGCTGCTACCCATTGCTCCCCTGGTTGCAAGTCTCGTGGGGTCTCCTCAGAGGGGAGAAGGGGGAAGATGGCACTAGCTTGTTCCGGGGGGTGGGGAGCACACCCCTTGGGATGTTCATTTTCAGGGGTTTTAAAGCCTGGGCATTTAGGGGAGGTCTTAGGGGGGAATCAATAGAATATTCATCACCTTTATGCTGATACACCAAAATAAGGTTTATTCTCTGAACTTCATTTGTCCTTGGATGTGGTTGGCAAATGGCACTAATTAAATTTCTGTTATCTGTCTCCCTGAGTATAGGGTGGTTTAAGCTATCTACCCTCTGATTGGGGAGGAGAAATGCAAACCATTTACCCTTAAGTGTCCTTGGTTTAGAGCAGACAGGTTTTAATAGGTGGCCACAAAACTGCTATTTGACTACCTTAGTTTCCCTATTCTGCTTGTTCTGGAATTTTCCTAGCTTCATACTATAACAACAGGATGGTCTGAAGTTATAACTTCCTAGGCTAAAAGGTCAATCTTTACTTAACTGAGCCTATCTATTATTGTCTTTTTACATCTAAGATAACATACTTTTGGAATGTCAGGATAATTCCCTTTTTCCAGACCCCTCAGGGCACAATCTCCAACCAGAACAGACCACAAAGCCCCTCATTGGTACTGTTGTTTATAACTATCCTATATCCACCTACGTTAAGGTATGACTATTTGTTTTACTTTTTATCCAATCCCAGAGATTCACCCTCCAACCCCAGCATTGCTTTCTCCCACCTCCTTCAACTATTGCCAATGGATTTCATGTAACTCCCGTCTTCTCCTTTGATTCTAATGTAAAAAATAAGGTGCAAAACAGCCATTTTCTGAAACATTTTCTCAGTCCACTGAGATTTTGCTTCCCAGCAGCTGTTGTCAGTTTGGTTCAAATAAACTCATAAAAAATTCTTACAGGTTTGTCTTACGTTGACAGTCGCAAGGACTCAATTCTGTTCCTGCAGCCTGAAAGCAGCCATTGATGATACATAAGTGATTGGGTGTGGCAGCATTCCAATAAAACTTTATTTATGGACAAAGAAACTTGAATTTCCTTTCATTTTCTTAACCGCCCCCCCCCCAACCATTTACAAAGGTAAAAACCATTCTCTTGTGGGCTGTGAAAAGGCAGGTGGTGGGCCAGACCTGGGTAACAGTTTGCCGACTTTTGGTGTAAGTCAAAACAAAAAGAAAGCCACATAGGTGGAGGTGGAAGAGGGCATAGAGGGGATAAATGGTGACGGAAAAATAAAGAAAATTTTTTTAAAAGCAAGCCACGGAGCCGCACATTGAACTAATTTTTGCCATTTTCTTGTTGAAAACTGTGGACTTTGAATTTCTGATTTGCTACAGACCTTTTTGCTTGATTTCTCATCCAGAAACACTTGCTATTACCAAATTCTCACTACAGGAATGCTCTAGTGCCTGAGAGGGGCTGGAAGCTGATGAAGTGCTTTCCTCTGCATAATAAAGTCAGTCAAGGGAATGGTGAAAACAAACCACCAAGTCAAATTTACATTTAAAAAAAAAATACCATGCCTTTTGCTTTATGCACAAACAGCTTCTTTCATCAACACAGGAAAACATCAGGCGGCTTGTCAATATTTCATAAACTTAAATTTGGTTAAGAAGGAAATAATGAAATGGTTGAAATGAAAATGCTTCACTAATGAGCCTCTGGCTTTTCAGACCTAAGCACTTCAGAGGAAAGCCAATCTCATTATCACACTGAGCTGCTGCTGCTGCTCAGAAGCATTGCAGGGAGTCCAGGAGGGACCTCGCCCCTAACTATTGAGAGACATAAAATCCGGTTTTGGTCTATTAACCACATCACCTGAAAATGGCTGGTTCGATTTTCAGCAAGTTTGAAAAACATGTTTGCAGATGTTTTTATTAAAATCCAGATGGCAAGGCACGTAAATCTTCCACCTGAGTGACTTTGGGGGGAAAGGGCACCTTGAGATTCCCCACATCCCCTTGCTCAGGGGCTGGCAAATTTGTCCTGTAAATGGGCCAGATAGGCAGTATTTTTAGCTCTGCAGCCCGGATGGTCTCTGTTGGCAACTCTCCCATTTTAGCAGGAAAGCAGGCAAAGTAGCCATAGACAGACAACACATTCTCAGAGGCATGGCCAGGTGCCAATAAAACTTTATTTACAAAAACAAGCTGCAGGACTAGGTGGTTTCCAGTTTCTACTCTTGACCAGCTGTAACTGAAGTACAATGAGAAACTCACACAAAGGATGGACATGTTCCATTCTCCATGGCAAGGGTGGAGGAAGCAAAAGGTTTCTGATATGAATCCCCAATGGAGGTGTTCAATATGAAACCTAAGTTTTTGACCAGGGCAGGTGCTGCAAACTGAGGCCTCTTTGTTCTCCATGTACAGCTTTGTACCTCAGCAGCAACTTCATGTCTCATGCTCCAGGGTGAGCAGTAGTGGGCACTTATTACTTAGATGGTGGTTAAGATCCTTCTGGGCCAAGGTGGAAAGCCAGCTGGTGTGACATCAATGGTCGTCACTTGCACAAAGAAACAGTTATCTGGGTAGGGCTGATAACCTCCTCATTCACAGCTTACACAAACTGAAGCAGCCTAATACCCACCCTGAACAGAGCTGAGAGAGATCTAGAACCAAGTTCTTTGGTATGTGTGTACATATAAACATAGGTATGGATATACAAATGAACGAACAAAGACAAGGACGTAAATTGTTCAAGGTGCAGTTTTCTATGGGATTTTTAGTCTAAAGCTGTTAAGGTGGGTCTCTTTAAAAGTGACCTCAAAAACCCATTAGGGCCTGGCAGGCATGGCTCAGTGGTTGAGCAATGACCTAGGATGAAGGAGATTGAAGTTCGATTCCAGGTCAGGGCACATGCCCGGGTTGTGGGCTCGATCCCCAGTTGGAAGCATGCGGGAGGCAGCCGATCAATGACAACTCTCTCATCACTGATGTTTCTTTCTCTCTCTTTCCCTCTCCCTTCCTCTCTCTGAAATCAATAAAGATATATTTTTTAAAAAACCCCAAAAAACCATTAGAGATGATACCTGAGATGTTCACTATAGTCTTATTTATAATAGACCAAAACTGGAGACAACTCAAGTCTCTATCAGCTGGGGACTAGTTAAATAAATTAATACATCCTTAAAATGGCTTACTTGCAGTTATTAAGAATGGGAAAACATAGAAATGAGCTGCATTTTATAATTTTTCTATAGTAAATATGCATTGGTAGTAAGAAACTAAAACAAAATAAATAAATGAAAGCCACTAAAGCCATAATGGTGTTACATAATGTTGTAGCCTTCCTGAGTGCTCCTGGAAGTACCAGCGAGGGAAGCCAGCAAAGGTCATAACACTGGTGACAGCAGTGACATTTATAACAGTGGACAAAGTACAAATCGAGTCAAGTGAGAGGGCCTAGGTTAAAGAAAGATTTATTGACTGCACAATTAAAAATGAGACCCATGAAGCCTTTCTAGCAGTCCAGAAAATATGAGTGACACTGAAATGGAAACAGCAGAACCGTAACTGCCTTACCCACCATCAGAACCATGTGGTATATACCGACAGGCATAAGGAAAACACTGGAAAGGAAATGGGGAGACAGGACAATATCTTCCATTCTGGATATTCTTTCCAATTTTTAAATTGTTGTGATCACCCTTTAATGGTGCAGGTGTGGACTGAACAAATGAATCTAGGCAAGAGAGAAAATGTAGCCTGAAACCTACAGGTATCAGGCGCTTACTAGGTGCCAGGCATTCAGTCAAGCACCTAGCCAAATTCAGGTTCACTGAAGCTTACAAATCCAGGTAGGTATGACTTTTAAGCCTATTTTAGAGATATGGAAACTGAGGCTTAGAGAGGAGAAGCAACCAGCCAAGGTCCCCCCAGCAAGGAAGGGAGATGGGATTTGAATCCATACCTAACTGATGCTGAACATGAGCACTTAAATGCTGTGGGATCCTATGCACCCAAAATTCAAACTTTGATAAGCTTTGGTGCCAGTGTGGGTTCTTGAAAAGCTTCCTAAAGATCCATGATATGCAATTTTTAAAATGTACAGCAGACTCTGATATGCATCCCCCAAAGCTACTCTGGCTTATAACAATGAGATAATAGTTCTCTGGAGAAAAACACAATTATTGAAACAAAATCTCAATGACACTATTCACTTCTTTAAGAAAGATTAAGCCCCATAACACAAATGCCTTGCCTCACTGAAACCTCAGTGTGGGTTTCTTCATACCATTCACACAGCTTGAAGACTGACCAGCCAAGATCTTGGTACGTCTGTTCTTGCTGCAATAACACAGGCCTGGGCAAAACTATTCAGAAGCTATGGGGAGATGTTCAGCCAATCTGACAAGGGAATAAACTATAGGAGCAATGAAACAGAATGATGTTAGCTGAGCAGTAGTACAAGTGGATTTGGCTCTGGTCTAGTGAAACCCCATTATCACTGGCTCTTTCAATTTTTCTAGGAGCAGCCAGGTCAAAATCATATTTGCCCAATTCAACACTTACTGAGCAAAATCCAAAAGGGAACATCATTTATTTCTGACAGCCTCCAAAATAAATCCTAAGTGTTTCCCACAGCCTAATTCTAAACAACTCAAGTTGGAAGGCAACTTCTTGTTTAAAAAATGTGTAACAAAAGGTCCTTTTGGGAAATGAGCTTCATTTTCTTTCTTTTTTAAAAATATATCTTTATTGACTTCAGAGAGAGGAAAGGAGAGGGAGAGAGAGATAGAAACATCAATGATGAGTCACTGATCGAGCCCACAATCCGGGCATGTGCCCTGACTGGGAATCAAACCCTCATTGCCTGGATCCTAGGTCGATGCTCAACCGCTGAGCCACGCCCAGCCAGGCTGAGCTTCATTTTCAATACTAATATTTAGTTCCAAAAGCCTGCGTGTTTGCTTTTTCCTCCCACCAGGTTTACCTACAAGTCAGGATTTTAAAAACCACAAGAAACAAATCAAACACCTATAGGATCCAGGTGCTGACCACCAGCATTTCATTTTGGAAATTATACCAGGACACTCTTTCAAAGAAGCTTCTGTGCAAAATGCTCAAATGAGGCTCACTGTTTTTCAACCTTGAAATTACCCACTTGAAAACCAGACCCAAACACCCCAAGCTTTCAGAACTAGGTCCCAATATTACCACTAAATCACTCTCACTCTAAAAATTGTACAATTAATGGCCCCTTTAACAAAGGGCTTTCAAGGCAAGGCAAAATTTCTCAAAAGACAGCTGTCTGCCCCTGCCAACTGTCCTGCACCTCTCTTCCATGGGGACCATTAATACTTCACCCTTAAAAGTCCTAGGGATAACAGCTACACTGAATGGTCAAGCGGAGCCTATTAGGACAGAGAAGGAACCTGAACACAGACCCAGCAACAATGAACTCTGCTATTCACAGAGCCCAATAAAGAGGCTGCATTAAACTTAAAAGCCAAGCTTTTTGCTTCAGATTCATGGGGGAAAAATGATTTCTAGAAATCTGTATAATTCAAATCCAAAGGGATGGTTATTAAAAAGAAACCAAGAAATAGCCAGAAACTTATTTCTTCTCTTTTTATTATTATTTTTTTAATCCTCACTGAGGATATTTTTCCCATTGCTTTTCAGAGAGTGGAAGGGAGAGAGAGACAGAAACATCGACGTGAGAGAGACACATCGATTGGTTGCCTTCTGCAAGCCCTGACCAGGGTTGGGGATGGAGCCTGAAACCAAGGTATGTGCCCTTGACAGGGAATCAAACCTGAGACCCTTCAGTCCGATGCTCTAACCACTGAGCCAAACCGGCTATTGCAGAAATGTGTTTCTAATGAAAGCTTGGTGGAAGAGGGATTCCAACCTGATAAAACTATCTAGACATGCTCTCTTTTCTATGAGGAATGCAATGTTATCACAACTCCATACATAAACCCTCCTGAAACTCCTTAAGTAGACATTTCAATGCAGAGACTAATATGAAAATAGCTTTTAAAAAACAACAACACTGACGTGGCCAGAAAACCAAGAGCATCTTGGTGAACATTTTTTTCCACCCACCACTAGCTTGGGCTTTCTGGGAAGGTCACCAGTTTTCCAGTCAAACACATTCTTGAAGTTGTCAGGAACGGAGGGAAGCTTGGCATTTGGGAAGGTGTGTTCCTGGTTCTGTGTCTGGGGCTCAGGAGCCAAATAGCCTGAAAAATTCAGAGAAATGTCTGTGAGAATGGGAAACTGTCACTCTAAAAACATTTTTAGAAAATATTGTGTTGCTTTTAAGATTATTTTATTTCATTTCCTGATATTATAAGTAACTCTTCTGTTACATAACAGTGTGAATATGCTTAACACTACTAAACTATAGACTTAGAAGAAAAATGTAACTCTTTAAAGGATTATCCACTTCACACCATCTGCAACACTTTATTTTCACCTATTTCCCATTACTGCAAGTCAGTGGTAACTTTCATATGAAAAAGACCTTTGAATAAAGAAATGATTACAGTTAACTCTGTTCACTAAGAAAATCTGGAATAGGAAAGGCCTGGAAACTGTAATAAATATTTCTCAAGTTTGGGAATGGGTAAGGAGGTTATAACATAGGCCTACTGGGGAAAACCATAGAGCTGTTAAAAAGATATATATGGGAATTCTCTGTATTATCTGCAACATTTCTATAAATCCAAATTCTTTCCAAAATGAAAAGGTTATTAAACAAACAAAAAACAGATAGTGCAGGAACAACTGGATTACCACATGCCAAAAGATGAAGTTGGATCTCTACCTCACATGATATACAAAAATTAACTCAAACTGGACTCTAGACCTAATTATTAAAATTCTTAGTTATAAAAGAAAAAAAGACACTGGACTTCATCAAAATTAAAAATTTTGTGCTTCAAATGATACCATCAAGAAAGTAAAAAGACAACCCAAAGAATGGGAGAAAATACTTGCACATCATGTATTTGATAAGGGACCAGTACCCAGAATATAAAAAGAACTCGTAAACTCAGTAAAACCCTTTTTAAAAATGGGCCAAGGGTTTTTGCGGGCGGTGGCGAGCTGGAAGAGGACGCTCTGAAGGCCTTGGGAAAGCTTGGAGAGCACAAGATAGTGGGGCGCCACCCCCAAGTGCCACACACCACGCCTCTACCACTTGTGCATCTTTCCACCTAACCATGTTGTTGCCAAGTCCTGCTTCTAACTGAAAAAGATGAAATCTTCAGGGGAAATTGTCCACTGGGGGCAGGTGTTTGAAAAATCCTCCCTTGGGGCAAAGACCTTTGGCATCTGGCTGTGCTACGACTCCACAGTGGCACCCATGTACCAGGAATACCAGAGCCTGACCACCTCAGGCACCATCACTCCAGCACTACTGAGACATAGGAGCCCAGCACTGTGCCCACACCCACTCAATTCAGATCATGAAGACAGAGGAAATCATGGCCACCAAGTGCCACCAACCAGCAGTCAAGCAGTTACATGACTCCAAGATCAAGTTTCCACTGCCCCATCGGCTCCTTCCTTGCCAGCACAAGCCACGTTTCACAACCAAGAGGCCCAACACATTCTTTTAATTTTTCTCTTTAAATCCTCACCTGAGGATATGTCTGTATTGATTTGAGAGAGAGAAGAAGGGGAGAGAAACATCGATGTGAGAAACATTGATTGGTTGCCTCCCGTACGTGCACCAACCAGGGATTGAACTCACAACCTAGGTTTGTGCCCTGACTGGGAAATGAACTCACAACCTTTTGGGGTACAGGATAACACTCCAACCAACTGAGCCACCTGGCCAGAACCCAACACCTTCTTTTAGATGCAGGGCCTCCCTGTCCCCTGTCCCTTCGGAAAATTGGGGTGCTCAGGAGGGAAAAAAAGGGCAAAGGATCTGAAAAGACATTTCTCCAAAGATATACAGATGGCCAATAAGCACATGAAAAGATGCTCAACGTCATTAACCATCAGGGAAATGCAAAACAACCTTCATGTCCATTAGGATGGTTATAATAAAAAAGACTGACCATGACAATCATTGGCAAGGATGTGGGGAAAACTGAAACCGTCACACACTGCTGGTGGGAATGTCAATTGTTGCGGCTACTTTGTAAAATAGTCTGGAGCGTCCTCAAAAGGATAAATATAGAATTACCTTATGACCCCGCAATTTCACTCCTGGGTATATACTAGAGAACTGAAAACTTAAATCCATACAAAAACTTGTACACAAATGTTTTTGTCAGCATTATTCATAATAGCCAAAAAATGGAAACATCCCAAATATTTATCAACTGATGAGTGGATGAACAAACTGTGGCATATCCATGCAATAAACTATTATTATTCAGCCATAGAAAGGAATGAAGTCCTGGTTCATGCTACAACATTGAAGAAACCAGAAGACATTATGCTCATGAAAGAAGCCAGACACAAAAAGCCATATATTGTACAATTCCATTTCTATGAAATGTCAGAAGAGGCAAATCCATAGAGACATTAAGTAGATCAGTGGTTGCCAGAGGCTGGGGAAAGGAAGGAGCAGGAGTGACTTCTTAATGGGTATGGGGTTTTCCTTTGGGGGTGAACATATTCTAGAATTAGACTGTGGTGATGTTGCACAACCCTGTGAATGGACTACAAAATCCTGAATTGCGAAAACCGACTTCTACTTTATTTATCCTTGTCTGTGGTTTGACACCCTCATTTTCTCCCTATCTTCCTTCCAATATTTTGTTATGAAGATTTCAATAAATAGAAGAGTTAAAAGAACAGTTCAGTCCGACTAGTGTGGCTCAGTGGTTGAGCTTCGATCTATGAACCAGGAGGGTCAGGGCACATGCCTGGGTTGTGGGCTCAGTCTCCAGCAGGGGTTGTACAGGAGGCAGCCGATCAATGGCTCTCTCATCACTGATGTTTCTCTCTCTCTTCCTCTCTCTGAAATCAATAAAAACATATTTAAAACAAAAGAACAATTCAGTGAATACCCACATACGCACCACCTACATTCTGCAACTGACACTTTGTTTTTCCGTGCATCTATCCATTTATCTGTCCACCTTACTTTTGATGTGTTTCAAACTAAGTTGCAGATATCAGTACCCTTGGTCCCTTAAAATTCAGGCATGTTTCTCATATTTAAAGTTTGGTTTTTTAAAATATTTTCTTTTTTACTGAGTTTTAGAGAGTGAGGAAGGGACTGGGAAAGAGGGAAAGAAACAGCAATGTGAGACAAAAACATTGATCAGCTGCCTCCTGCACACCCCCTACCAGGGACAGAGCCCGCAATCGAGCTGGCAACCTTTCAGTGAATGGGACGATGCCCAACCAACTGAGCCACAGCAGCCAGAGCCCTATGACTTTTTAAAATTTCCAAAGTGGCCCAGCTCAAACAGTATAGAAGCGGGTACAGGGAATAGCAAACTATCCCTCGGACTCTGCTACAATCATAACCAGGGACAATCTTAGAGAAGATCCTTCCAACTCCCTCAATGAAAATGTTTCCAACATAGACTTCAATACTCACTCAGCATTTATTCAATGTTTACTGTGTTCAAATCATAACTGATGCCAGAGTATGTGTACAGGTAACATAAGCCTTCTTTACTCTCAAAACATTCCCCAGTGTAGACATAACCTTCTGCCACATCATCACTGATGGCATTGTGACAGTTGGTCATACAGGTATCCTTTAAGTTACCTGATTCTTCCTCTGCTCTTGGGCATTTAGGTGACTTCTAGTGTTTTAATATACTGGAAAAGCCAGTCACTGTCTCCTTGACAGCTCTTTCTGGAGGGAATCTTCCCTCACTCATGACTCTTGCAGGAAGAGCTGGACTAGGGCAGGGGTCAGTACACTCTGTAAAAGGCCACACAGTAAGTAGTTCAGGCTTTGTGGGTCCAGGCACTCTGTCACAATACCCCAACTGCTACAGCGCAAAAGCAGTCACAGATGTGGGCATGGCTATGTGACAGCAAAACTTCATGAAAACAGTGAGGGAGTAGATATGGCCCATGGGCTATGGTTTGCTAACCCCTGAACCTCAGTGGTTAGGCTGGAACCAGGAACCTCCAATCCAACTAGAACTGAGTGACACCTACATAGGTCAATCAGACTTTGCTCCCAGGAACAAAATCAGGATGCTGGGCTACTGACTAAGCTTGCCTTGGGCTGAGCTGGGAGATCACAGAGCCTGAGGCTACAATCCTCAAGGCCAGAAGATGAGCAGTGAAGGATGTTATCCAGGAAACAGGACAATAAAGCCAATGGACAGGAAAGAACAGAATGATAAAAACACACCAAGTTCTTCTCCGCCCTAGGACCTTTGCACATGCTGCTTCCAGTGCTATCTTGCCTCTCCCCAGCTCCGCAAACTGCACAAATTAGACTTCCTGTTGTTCTTAATTTATTTTGTACCAATTTTATTTTATTGATTTTAGAGAGAGGATGGGGGGGAGGGGGAGAGAGAGAGAGAGAGAAACATCAACTTGTTGTTCCACCCATCTATGCATTCATTGGTTGACTCCCATACAAGCCCTGACCAGGGATTGAATAGCCAATCTTGGTGTATCAGGACGATGTTCTAACCAGCTGAGCTGCCCAGCCAGGGCCCGTGTTCTTTTTTTGTTTTTGTTTTTAAATATATCTTTATTGATTTCAGAGAGAGGAAGGGGGAGGGGGAGAGATAGAAACATCAATGATGAGAGAGTCATTGATCGCCTGCCTCCTGCACACCAACCGAGGACTGACCTGTGTTCTTGATTTAAATGGCATGTTATCAAAGAGCCTCTTCCTGACTGCCTTCTAAACTGGGAGATTCCCTCCCTTTTGCTAACTCACAATTGATTTTTTTCCCTATTTGTTTCTTTTCTATCCATTTTCCACCTCTTATGCTGTGCATTCGCTATATAGGCAGGGACTATGGCTGTCTTGGTCTCCATTTGCTAAAGGCAGGGACTATGGCTGTCTTGGTTTCATCTGTGATCCCAGAATACAGCCCACAATGTATAGTTGTGAATGAGTAAATGAATGGGTAGGTGGGAACCTAGAGAGACAGAGGCTAGAGCACCTCCTCCCCAGTGTCCTTTCTGTGAGTCCTAGGTACACCTCCTGTAAATTCCTTGATCTCTTCATGAGCCTCTTTGTACCTGAGCAGGCCTCATCCGAGCTCCCAAAAAGGGCCTCTCAGGACATCCATCTTGGTTCTTACTCTGGGCTCTAAAACACTTCATAGTGGCATACTGAACTCCCCTCAGCTTCCTATCCCCTAAGTCCTAGAAACATCTCCTTAAACAGTCAGCTGGGACAAAGACCACCCAGCAACTCCAAATTCAGCATCTCAACCAGTCATTCTCTTCCTCTTTGGGGTAGCATAAAAGATGGGCCCAGCATGGCCTAAAATTCCAGATTCTTCTACTGTATTAATCCTGAGTCTGTTTACTGAGTCTCACAATCCATTAACAGCAGTATTGGAATTACGGCCTGAGGCTGGAAGGAAAACCAATCCAATTGGATTTTTTTAGCCTAGTAAGAAAATAAGGGCATAAAAACAAAAACTTCTTTAAAGGGCACAAAAAAATAAAGTCTGAATATACACTTCTGCTAGATTTCAGCAGGGCAGGAGCAGGACCCAATAGCACACTGTCTGTCCAACCACATTTTTTCACCTTGACAGATGCCAGATATACACTAAGCACAGCAGAGCTGGCAAGAGGTGACCAGGCCATGGGTTCAGGGAAGGTATCTCTTGGCAGCTCCCAGCGACGCACCAGGCACAGCCAGAACTTGGAAAACGCCACATTCCAATCTAAGCTCCAGCCTGGACCATGGTAGCATAGCTTAAATTCTATAAACCTATTTCCTCTCTAGCATGGAGAGTTCTTTTTTTGAAAGCAGAAAGCATGACACCAAAGTGTAGAATGAGAAGACAGAGAATGACCATCAGGTGGGTCATTTTCAAGAACTCTGCAGAGGATGACAATGAAGGAGACAGGCACGCCTGACTTACACGATCATGCAGAACATCATGAAGACGTTCCACAGGGCGATGAAGATTCGGAAGTACCTGAGGCTCAGTAAGAACTCCCGGATGTTGTCACCTGGAAAGTCAGAAAGCATGTTTACAAGTCCTGCTAACATTTCTGCTGTCACAGTTACAGTTGCTTCCACAGTTTCTACCCACCCCACACCCACTGCCCCCATGTCCCACAGTGGCAGCTCCACTTTTTCTTTGGGTCTCTTCTGTTCCCCAACCCTCAGCACTCAGGCTGTCACTGACCAATCCTGGGAGAGCCCCCAGCCTCTGATTGGACAGGGAGGAGTACATGACCCACGTATGCCCAATGAGAGTCAGCCCAGGGACTTTTGCCCCAACTACTATTTCCTGGGCTGGGCTGAAAAGATAAAAGCAGAGTGCTTTAGGACAGGGGTTCACAACCTATGTCTCAGGAACCAAAACCAGTCCTTGCAACCTGTTTGTGTGTGGCCAGGGTACTCAGAATGTTTTTCATATTTCTTAATGGTTAAAATAAATAAATAAATAAATAAATAAATAAATAAATAAATAAAGGGAGTATTTAGTAAAATACAAAACTTATATGAAATTCAAATTTCAATTTTTACACAAATAAAGTTTTATTGCAGCATAGCCATGACCATTCATTTACATACTGCCCATGGCTGCTTTCCAGTTACAATGGCAGAGATGAATTGTTGCACCAGAGACAGCATGGCCTGCAAAGCCAAAAATACTTATAATCTGGCCCTTTACAGAAAAATGTGCTAAGCCCTGCTCCAGAGCTGTCTTTGCCAACACAAGCCACCTGATAGTAAAACCCACCTAGAAGAAAAAATGAGAGCTGGAAACAGTCACAGGCTGGAGGGCTGCTTTGAGCCCTGAATCCAGGTGTGCCTGAAGACAATTCTACCCTTGGATGTTTCAATGTGCTTTAACCACTTTGAGCTGGGATTTTAGTGTTTGCAACTAAAAGCACACTGATTTGTGCAAGTAAAAAAGCAGTTCTCCTTTGGTGACGACATACTCTAGTTCCCTCTGCTGCCAAGGAACAGAAACCACTCCAAGAGGGGGCAATCTGGTACATTTAGACTCCAGAAACCTGTGTTCCAGAAACTCCCTCTTGGGTTTTGAGTCATTTCCCACCC